TGTCATTAAGTTTGTTTCAGGATTTAAAATCTAGTTTTATTTAAAAATGAACCCACTGGTGGGCCGAACTGAGCTCAGCCGTGGGCCTGATTTGGCCCCTGGACCAGTTGAGCATCAGTCAAAGGTTGATGCGTGACACACACCGCCCTGTGGGTGAGCGTGCACATAAATTAGACTGGACTCGTATTTTATTTGTCAGGTGAAAACCAGTAAAGGTCCGATTGGGCCTTGTCAGACTGGTTCTCACTTTCAGTTCAGGTGTGCAGGCCTCAGGTGCGCTCAGAGGAAATGAACGTTTGCTTTTTAAATAAAGTGATCAGTGTTTGTTGGTTTCAGCTTGTCTGATAAAAGCATGCAGCCCTGCAGGGATCAGGTGTGTGGACGTCACGCTGCTGCACTTTCTGGATGTAAATAATTAAAGGTCCAGGTCTGTGCGTGTGCACGCCGTGCTCGTGTTCAGCTCAGTCTGTGAACAAATGGAGCTTCATGCATGAAGACCTCAGATAATCTCTGGTCTGAGTGTGAGGCGCCTCTGATTGTCTCAGAGAACATCATCAGCAAATCCTTCATCTCTGCAGCTCCTCGTCTTCATCTGACGCTAACGGGAGGAAAACAGTTTGATCAGCGTGACTCCGGTTGTTGTGCTTTTGATCAGACGCCTCGGCTCCAAAAATGTTGTTTTTATTGTTTTTTTAAAGCAGAATAAAGCAGCCTGGTGAGATAAAAGAGAAGAATTCACTGAATAACGTTTATTTTTCTGATGACTTTGATCTTGTTCATGAAAAAGAGTTTGAATCTGATGAAGCTCAGAAAAAGAAAAAGACTTGAGTCACGAACAGTTTGTTTCTGAGAATTAAAGAGAAAACAGAATCAAAGCAAACGGAGTCGCTAAATAATCTGTTTGAATTGCTGCTCATTAACGAGACGTTCACCTCACAAGAGGTTTGAAGGAGAACAAAAGGAGGCCGAACACAGAGCTCAGAGGAGCAGAGGACAGAAGATCTCAACGTCTGCAGGAGCTCTGAAGGTTCATCAGGAGAAGAACGTGGATCCAACAGCACGGGAGTTCTATTCCCATTAAACTTTGTTTAAACGTTTGTTTTTTTAATGTGTGGACAACAGAACAAAGATCAGGAAATCAATAAAACTGATCAAAAATACAGAAGACGAAAAAATTAACTGAAAATCTGCCAATGATTTAAGTTTGGATCAACTAAAATTTAAAATAGAAACTTCTACACCTGTCCACAGGTGTCCTGGTCCTCCTGTCCTGGTCTGTCTGTCCTCAGGTGTCCTGGTCTACCTGACCACAGGTGTCCTGGTCTGCCTGGCCACAGCTGTCCTGGTCCACCTGTCCTCAGGTGTCCTGGTCCACCTGGCCACAGGTGTCCTGGTCTACCTGACCACAGGTGTCTTGGTCCACGTGTCCTCAGGTGTCTTGGTCCACCTGTCCACACATGACCT